GAATAAAGTTAGACCATCTACCCAAGAGTAAATACCTCAACTACTTCAACCTTCACAAAGAGAGTATGTACTGCTGGCTGCTGTGTTAATATAAGGCAGATGTTTTCAAAGACTAAATAGGGACATCGATTAACATTAAAGTGCGAATATCTAAACGGTTATTCTGAGCTCAGGTCTCCCACAGACCAAACTAACCAACATCCCGCTGACATTAATAAAAAGGGGCCTTTCAGCAGGTTTGCGACGAATCTACCCAGAGTGCTCCTCCTATACGAGCGGGGTGGTCTTTTTCACACCCGCTGCCTAGAACAACCTGAATGGGCTATTTAAGTAAATACATGCAAACAGACATTCACGGCCAAGGACAAAACCCACTGGAGGTGCACGATTTAGGCTACTCCCCACCTCTTGGTTGGTCCAAAACTAGAGCTTTGGCATCTGGAATATGCTAATCTCAATGTCTGGCGTATTAGAAAAAACAACACCTATGAAACTTAAAACTCAAATCATTCCTATAAAAATGCATGAAGATAAGAAAGAGAGACATTAACCAAGAAGTCTAAATGCTGCTAGAGGTCGGGGTGTAATGAAGTGCTTAGCTAAATCTAATTCATCTTAACTGATATGAATCTATATCAATGCAGGCTGAAGTTTGTTTTAGCAGCTCGGTGTGTGGGTGGGGAGTTGGAGAGGAAATAGGAAATGGAGATCAGGGCGGTGCCGCTCTCTCTCTCTCAGGCAAAGGTTAAACAGCTGCCGTGTAAATTCTTAACAAATGACGTCCCAAACTGAGCAGAACAGGTAGAGAAAACACCTCCGGAGGGTCCGGGCACACAGGACATGACCACCTGGTCTTCAAGCAGAAGTTTGTCTCATTTGGCTGTGAGGGAAAGAGACAGCAAGCAGCGAGCTAATGACTTTAACTGAATACAATACCTTTAACAAAAGGTAACAACTTTTACTGCCCTTCATTTTATGCCTAATAAGACCTTTTTGGTTCATTTCAGCTCTACTTTTTAACAAAATTGAACCAACTGAAATAAAACCAAATTCGCAATTTCCAACCAAAATGAATACAGCGTGTATATCACTCCTGCTCAAACCAAACAAAGATCCAACTCTTCCATCTAGTTACCGTACTATTTCGCTCCTGAATGTAGATATTAAAATCATCACTAAGGCTCACAGACTTGAGAAAGTCACTCCATCCATAATTCATCCAGATCAAACCGGTCATCCACTAACACATGCACACTGTTTAACTTAATAAATGACTCATCATTCGAACAAGCCGGAACCATCATTGCCTCCTTAGATGCAAAAAAGGCCTTTGATAAAGTAAACTGGACATTTCTTAGAAGCACATTGCAAAGATTTGGCTTTGGGGAATCTTTGATTAACTGGGTTAAGATTCGGTACACTGCACCTTCAGCCACGTTCATCCCCCATGGACAAACCTCACAAAACGTCACACTACAGAGGGGGACTAGGCAAGGATGCCCACTCTCTCCCTCACTTTTCACCATTTTTATTGAACCGTTACCTGCAGCCATCTGTCAGAATACTTATATAAAGGAAATTCAAAAATGTAATATCCATCACGAGATTAGCCTCTATGCAGATGATACACTGCTTTCCCTCCAAAATCCATACCATCAAGAAAATGGGAGTTTGACTTATCCATCACTCCTGATGCTGACTTTTGGACTCAAATCTGCAATAATATCTACTTCATGACTAGTAATGTGAATTTGCAATTAATATAGTATGAAATTCTTCACAGACTTCATTACACTGGGCCAAAACTGTTTATAATGGGATTCACGTCAGACATATGTTCACACTGTACTCAAAATAGCCCGGATAGCTACATTTATGTCACATGGCGCTGCACACCAGTTCAACACTTTTGGGGAAAAATAACGGGGTCATTGTCTGTTTTCCTGAGCTGCCTTGTCTCATTATTTCCAGCCCTATGCTTACTAGGAGACCTTTCAACAATAAACCTGTGCAAAACAAAACCGCCGATTACTCCTCATGGCCATAACTATGGCGAAGAAAACTATCCTCGTAAACTAGAAATCAAGGAACAATATAGATGTCGCACAGTGGAAAAACTTGATAGATCAAATCACATCTCAATAGGAAATCTACCTCTGAGCTTACAATACAACAGAACACCACTCCATCTGGTCATCTTTTACCAGGTTTTTGCAAACATGACACTAGCCATCATACTGATGTTGAAAATGATTATTGTTATCTTATTTGTTCACTGCCTGGAAACAAATTTAACCCCACAGTTACATACACACATAGCCCCCTTTATGTTTTCCATCTGAAAAGGGTTCGGGCACACGTACCCACACACACACACCCTACATGCACATACCCGCGACATTTTCCCATATCCTCACCGTATGTTTGTTGGTTTGTAATTCACTAATTTGTCGTTCTCTTGTTGTTTTGTCTATGTATCGTCCCTTAAAGAGCCGTGCCAGTTTCAGCAGAGCGCTTTGGGGAATTGGAGCACAAGGAGACTATAAAGACTATAAAGATGTCTAGACAAGCAGTAAAAAGATGTGTACAACAGTGCGCCCAACTGATTTGACATCTGCCTTTGTTCGTAGCAAATGTTTTTTTCTTCATATTTCTCAAGTAGTTAAACTTCTTTTTTCTTTTTTAACCACAAACCACACAAACACTCAACTTCCATAGGAAGAAACACATATTCACGTGTTTGGTATTTAATTTTAGGTCTCAGACGGTGAAAAAAAAATAATGCAATCCACTGACACAAAAGCTGAGGTCATAAATCTCTCTGTTCCTCTGTCGCGAAGCAATCTTTTCCTGCCATCTCCTGTTATGGAAGCAAACAAACTGGCCTGACTTCGTCCCCGACTGTCACGCAAGATTGGATTTAGATGAGGCCGATACTCGAGCTGTGCGCTATTTGCTCCTTGCTCCCCCTTTCCTTTCTCTTGATCTGAACAAACACCACGCTGACCATCCCACTGGAGGAAAAAGGCCCTGCGCTTTGCTTTTCGGTGTAACCTGGATCATCAAAAATCCATTATCAAATCCCTGTGCGGTGGACACTTTCTACAGCTTTCGTAACGTATGGTGCAAAAAGGATCCGCTGTAATCGCCGCGTTGTGCTTCCATTATCCAACTCGTCAGAAACAGGCTGACTCACAGACAGGCTGACCACACACGTGGGGGAAATGTGCTGCGAGTCGCACACAGTCTTCTCTGGGTTTCTCTTCCTGCACGCGGCTTTCTACCATCGAGTTCATCGACAATAAGGAACAACTGGTGTCAGTCGGACTGCTTGATCGTTGGAGCCCCTTCAACAATGCACTCAAAGGCGTCTTTGTTCATTTCTTTTGTTCTAGGTTATTGGCTCTAGGTTATTGTCCACAAACCAATGGGGGTGAGGGGGGGGGGGGGGCAATATTTTGAATCGAAAAACAATCCTATCTTAGCAACAGTAACCGGGCACCACATTGCGAGGATTTCCCCACATAGTGAGGCGGCGTCCAGGGAGCCGTCCTAAGACCAATACTCAGCATTTATACTCTTTGGAGGGTGGTGGTTTGGCTTTTTTTTTTTTAGCTTTTCCAACTACAAGTACAAATAGTTCGGAATGGAATAAGAATACGTCTACCTCTGCTTCTTATTAAGCTGCGGACTTTCGCACAGCTTATTACGAGTGTACCTCTGAAATCAAGGAGCACATCTTTAGCACCACTACATGACTAATAATTAGAAGATTGTTTTTGAGGGTCCGTTAGACAAAGGAACCACAACCGTCACTGGGGCGTTTACGTGTCATCCAACTCGGTTGTTCCTTAAAAAGCCTAAAAAGCCCATCAGTTTAGTTCCACTCAACTGTAAAACTAAAGAAAAGAGACACCGTGAGCAAACTTTTAAACAGGCAGCAAAGGGGAGATTTTAAAACCCAGACAAAGAGAAAATAGATGCATGCAGCGTCTCCGCCCGGCAGTTTTCCACATTGATCAAACGCGAGTCTGCTGCACTCACAGCATGCTGTAGGCAACTGGAGAGATACTTTACACGAGCGTCACCTCGGTCCAACTCAACCGACCTCAGCAGCAGCCCAAACACAGCAGAGTGTGTGGATGGGGGGCCGGGAGGTGAGGGGCTTGTCAGCTTTTTAAAAATAGATTTGGAGGCCACGTGGAGGATTAGTAAATGATTCCATCTGATAAAAGATTGAGGGCGTTGGAGGCCGTGTCCCTCAATTACATGCAACAAACACATTATGCAAAAGCACAGAAGCCTCCCATGATTAACATTTATTACCAGCTGTTCCCACCAAATGAGTTTATATTCTACTCTAGTTCTTTTTTACTCTTGTGTGACTACAGCAGGCATTTACAAAGTGTCCTCAAGGCCAAGACAACCTTCAGAAGACACTCACTCATTTACTGATCGAATGAAAAACAAAAGAGCAGTGTCATAAGATTTTCTACACAAACGTTTTGGTTGAGGAGGCAGTGACACTAAATGAAATCTACAAAAAGGGAACTGCACAGATGTGACATCAGATCAGCTGAGAACCAAAAGGGGAAAAAAAGGACAAATACCACTTGAGATTCCCACAGGATGGACAAAACATGTTGCAATTCAGCCACAGAAGTCTGTGTAACACGGCGCCGAGGTGACCGCGTACTACTACAGTAAGCTAAATATACACTATCCAAATCACACCACGTCAAACAACAAGGTGCAAGGAGAGACTGTCTCCATCAAACTGTCTTCGCTCATGTGACCACAGAGACATTGTTTACACATGTCCAGCAGCTGGATTAAGCCTGAGCGGAGTATGAAAGAAGATTACACGAGGCTGCTTTTAACCAAATCCTAATATCAACCACATCTCCACATGTGTCACATCACAACAGAGTCTGTGTGACTGAGTGAGTGTTTCCAGCAAGTAGACGGGGACGAGTACAGATGTGCGCTTCTGTTCTCACCTCGGCAGCTGCCCGTGGCTCTCCCTCTGCACAGGCTGCTGTGTCCAACATCTGGCTCCGCGGGGCGTCTCTCTGAACAACACACACACACACACACGCGGGTTACGTTTAATCACACGCGTGTTTGCTGTGCACGACTTTCAATCTGGACTCGAAGTAAACAAAAAACAAAAACCACACACACACACACACACACACACACACACAAGGATCAAACTTTTTCACGCGTGCAGGCGTTGCGCCACGTGGGCTCCCGTTCAACGGGTCCCTCTCACCTCGCAGTAGCCGGTGACCTGCTGCGCGATGCCCTGGATGTGCAGCATGTGTTGGCGCAGCCTCCGTTGGTACCGGAGAGCCGACAGCTGGGCCTCGTTCTGCAGGGTGGACACCCGGGCCAGCAGGGACTGCTCCCGCCTGTTCCACCTGAGCCTCGCCATCCGGCTCTCGTGCTCCAGAGCGGGGGTCCTCTCCACCAGCGCGTCCACGCGACAGTGTCCCTCTGTGTCGCTGTCCTCGCTGGACCGCGGCAGCCCGCGTGCTGCCGGACGGACCCCGCCACCGCGGGGACGCGAACCGGGCCCGCTCTGTGACTCCATCGCGCCCGGGGCTCGAAAGGTGACAGAAGTTTGGCGCACAAGAAGTTTGGGCGAAGTTCCGTTACGCGCGCGCAGGAGGGAAACGCGTGCGCTGAAAGTCGGTCCCGCTCTGCGCAGCTGGCGCTGCTTCTCCTGCGACATGTGATGAGATGTTCCTCAGAGGAGAGAACTTCAGCTTCCTGCCTCCGTTTTCCTCCTGCTGTTCACGCGACCTAAAAGCACGTGCGTGACTTCAGTTTGACGTCATCCGTAAAGACATCTTTGCCGTCCCGTGGTGTTTTTTGTGCAGTTTGATCTCGTTTGTGATTTAATTGCGCGCAGATATCGGCGCTGTGCACTTGACGCGTGTTCTAAACCCCCCCAGCAGAGGGCGCTCATTCTTTTGTTTTAACATTCAAAGGGTTTACATGCAACACGGTCCGCCTCATGGTTGTCATTATCTGTAAGGCCTTGTGGTGCCTCATCTTGACCCGGATGCATTAATTCTATCCGCCTCTGTTGCTTGTCCTGCAGCGATGACCCGTCAGGGAGGCCCGTTTCAGGGGGATGATGGTCCTTCAGTGGTCAAGCCCAGGCCTGAAACCCAATATCTGCACAGGGACCTTCAGGAGCAAAGAGTTTGGGCGCAGCGTGACATACTGCAGGCATCGCTCAGGGAGGGCGTCACGTTTCAGGTCTCCCAGCGCAGCAGTCTGCTCCCAGTCCGCTGGGCACCACTTCACAGTGTGCTTTGTGTTGTCTGAGCTGCCAAAGGAACAGGTGTGGACTCACAGGGACAATTACACAATCTGTCCTGGGACTGAACACCTGTCTGCAAAAACACACGCACAACCAGGTCGGGGGAGGGTGTTTTGCCTCCTGTCAATCACTGCAGATGAAAAAGCAGCTCTTGTTTTACTTTATAATTTGATGTTAAATCATATTATTTTTAAATCAAATGTCGCCGAATGGCCGCATTAGCAGAACAGTTCATTTTTTTGAGGATGGGATCTGGAGGAGCATCCAGACAGCCGCCCGGGTAACGCCGATTCGATTGTCTTTTGGGGTTTGCCACCTGGGAACGGAGCCATCGCGCAGGCCGTGTGCTCGGAGCAGTAAGCCACTGGAAATAAAAAAAAGTTATCTCCGTCATTTATTCCCTCGGTGAACCGATTTCAGTGAGTTACTATTAAGCCCCCTGATTGAAACGGAGATATGGCCCAAAGCTCAATATAAAAAAAACAGATTGATAAGGCCTGACCTCATCCATGGAGTGAAGTGATATCAATCTAGTTTCAATCTGCTGGATACCTGACAGGAGACGAAACTCCAGCATCTGTTTCTGCCTGAAAATCTACACATTGACAGAGTTGGTCTCATTTGTAATGAAGGAGAGATTAAAATGCTGCCTCTGACCTGCCTGGTAAAGAGTACAGCCATCTCCTAGATATTTAATCAAATTGATTTACCCCTTTTTAAAATGCTTGCGTTGATAATTACGGATACTCATAGATTATAAGTGAGACTGACACTAGTTTGGCTTATTTGTTATGAGAGCTGAAGCACTGAGTCACACGTCTAAGGTCATAGTTGTACAATACTTTAACCAAGGCAGCAATGACCAAGGACACAAGGCATTAGCAGTTATTACTCCATTGTGAATATTGTCTGTATGATGAGGTTTAAGAAAGTAGCTCCAAGTTCTGGTGCAGATTTCTGTTCATAGAAATGTTGGAGGAGTCCCTTCATTCGTCTATTTAAAACTTTACAAAGAGCAAACTGAGGAATGGTGTAAGTGTAAAGCAGTATTTCTACACGGTTGTTCCTTGTTCAGTCGACTCACAGCGTTGAGATGTATTGCAAAATAAGAGAAGAAAAACCCCAGACAGCTCAAATAGTTAACTACACTTTTATTGTATCTTGTCCAGTCAATGAGAGGTTCCAGTTTGTCACAAGGGCATCGAAGATCTGAACGACAGTCAAACACGCCGCCACCGGTGCCAGTGAGGCCATCCGATCCCCGGCACGCGCTCAGCACTGCAGGACCACTTTTCTTGAATCAGTGAGATTCTTTATGTCATGTCAGTTTTTAATATTAGGTCTAAAATCCCCCCCCTCTCCGAGACTTCACGTGAAAGGACCGGCTCAGCGTAGCTTAGCGGCTAATGCTCGTACCAGGCTGCACGGCCTCTGACGTGAAGGGACGTCACTCGGTTGTTGGAATGTGTTTCACACGAAGCCGAGAGGTTGACAAGTTGCCATGATGTTGATATGTTGCAAAGTAACGCCTCGTCTCCAGTGTCATGCATGTTAGAATGTAGAGCCGCTGCTTCCTCCAAAAACGTCAAAAGTTCAAGGCATTCATGCATTTGGCAACTTTTTTTTTCTATGATTTGTAGCATGAAGGAAAACTGGGAAAAGCACTTTGTGGTGGATGTTGATTTAGTCACAATGCAGAAGCATGGCCAGCGTCGGTCACACCGGAAATAAAACTCTAAACCGTCCTGCTGGAGGTGGATCATGACGTACGAATGAGATAATCAGGACCAAAAGACAACGGCAGTTGATATTGTTTATATGTCTCCGATCACGTTAATAAAAAGACACAATTAAAGCAGCGGAAAAGCGTTTAGATGAGCTCCTGCCTCTGACACGGGTTGCTCATCATCTCTTCATGCCAGATAATAAAAAAAATGAAGTTAGATTACTGCTATAGGAGCTAGGCAAGTTTTCTTATTAGAAAATATAAAGTAGCCATGGATTAATCTTACATCGCGCGCTTACTGAAGGCCGCGAGCGGCGCCACTGTTCACCGTAATCGTTACACGAAGCCATTAGCGAGTCGGATGAACTGAAAACGTTTACACAAAATAAGAGGCCAACATTCTTTACAAAGCGCCGCTCGGCACCACGGAGGTCCTGATGATACAGTCAAAACAAAGGATGCTTCGGGTTCGGTTGAGCAATGTGACCCACGTGTTGCGGCAAAGCAGTTGGAGAAATATTACCAGAGGAGGCGAGCACGGAAAATAAACGCCGCGCCGCACGATGTTCGCTGCAGTCGGAAAACATTTGAAACCGCGTGTCTGATGCGTTTACTTCCTGCTTTCATGCTTTGCTTTACATTCAGCTCTGCCAATACGGATCCAAGTGGCTAAACTCCCCCGCGCTTTATTGACCGTTTCAAACGTTCCTTCCATGTAACAATGTCGACATGCACAATATATGAAAGCGGTATTTTACCAATAAAGCTTGTGCTGTGGTTTGTAATTCAAATAACATCCATCGTACATCAGGTAGCAAAACAATACCAATTATCGGATACGTTGTTTCAGCATGACATAAATGCGTCTATCAAAAAGCGAGAATGAACGGGTGAGATTTGCTTTGACTGTATCTCTGTAACAAGGGTGTGCTTCATTTTAAAAAGGATATAGAAGACAACGCCACTCATCTGCCAGTAAAGAAAGACGTTTTTATAAACTAATACACTTATCCTTCACAGCTACTTGTTTATCTTTTCCTATAGAAAACATTGCAGGATAGAATTTCCTTAAATATCACATATCAAATGCAACCCACATTTCTCCACAAACAGCAACTTCATCCATGTACGATAATGAAGATTCAAATAGACTTAACGGACAATCTACAGTGGAACGTTTCACTTTCCGTCATGATTAATGTTAAAACAAGTTATTGGGAAAGATAAGTGCAGTTATTTATATAAGGCATATTTAACAAGTTGACGGAACTTCTTTGACACTCCTCCAAAGAGGCTTTTTGTGGATAAATAAGGGATGTCTTTGTCCATTTCCATTTCTGTGTCTATTTTCACAAACATATTCCAGAGGGCAAGAGTTGGAATATGACGTTCCGGGGGTTACAGGATGGAACCAGAAGATCCTCATAGGCGTCAACCACAAAGAGTTCCCTTGACGGGAGGTGAAGACAGAGATGGCGCTACATTCAGAGGTTCAGGCCGAGGGAAGCCACGAGGAGCAGGGGGAGTGCGCGGTGACACATGGCGGACACGGCGCTTCCACCTGAGAGACACAGAAACGGGTACGTCACTTTTTGCTTAAAGAACACCTGAACTGAACGGAAAAAAATGTCTCGCATCCATGGAACCAAAGACCAGGTTTGGTGTGTGAAGAGTGATATTATACCCCATCTGTGAGGAGATCAACTTAAAACGCCCCTCCATTAGTCAATGCCCTGCATTTGAAATCCCCAATGGCTTAAATTCCCGGGTCTGTGAAATCAAGCTGTCAGATGGGTCTGGACTGAGCGATAAGGGGGAAGAAAAACCCCGGGAAGGGTTTCCTCTACTCATCAAGATCAATTACAGAGGCTTAAGGGCCTCCTCCATCCCGTCGGCCAACCTGTCAGTCCGTCAGCCAGCGAGGGGGTCGAGTCAGGGGGGGGGGGCGGTCGAGGCTTTAGTCACGGATGGTAAGGTTCCCCATCTGCGCTCTCGGGTCTAAAGTATGAAACCTCCAGTGTCAGCGCTGCTCTGGCCCCTGGGAATCCCCCTCTAGCTGTGACAAATGATAACCCGCCGCCGCCGCCTTGCATAAGCTCACTGGCAAACGGCAGGCTGGGAATGATCCGGCACAGCGTGTCACCTCGGCACCACGCATTTAAAACGGGAAGACGGAGGAACTGAACCTGGGTGAAAACACATACCACACAGTGGTATTTTTCTCTCACTCACTAAATGTGATTCCGGGTTTCATCATAAAGTGCCAGCTGCTCTTCTGCGCCCCGTACACATCGCGCTGCTCAGGAAATGTTAACGAAGAGGTAAGAAGTAAACGGTGGATTCTCGAGTTACTTGTGATGTTGATTTGTGCCACAGCCCCGTCTCCCCCCTCGGAGTGCGCCCGGACCTCCACCACATAGTTTCCATCTGTGTGGAGGGGAAGGTCTATGTGCTGCTCGTGGGTGGCGTACAGCGTGGCGGTGGAGTGGCCCTGCTGCCTGAGCAGCACCTGGGAAGAAACACACATAATGCACAAGATATGTGAGCTTTCCAACAGCCGCTGCTTCACTATAAGCCTCGTCAGAGTAAAGTAAGAACAGGACTCACCTTATAACCGTCTATTGATGACTCGTTAGCGAGGGGTTTTACCTGTTCCCAGGCAATATTTACTGACTGGACCTTGAACTTTTTACCAATGATTTTGGGAGCCCGACTTGGAGCTGTTAAAAGAGGGGAAAGGGGCTTATGAATAACAAGAATATTAAAACGACTTGCGATGTTCTTTATCCGTGCAGACCAGAGAGCGACATACGGGGTCTCTTGGTGTGGATCTGGAGGTGTTCGCTGGCCGGCCCGTAGCCTGCCGAGTTGTAGCCGCGCACCTCGACGAGGTAGTGGGAGTCTGGCTTCATACCCTCCAGCCTGGTGTGGTTCTCACTGCCGGGAACCACCACTCTCTGGGCCCCCCCTTCACTGTCTTCCTTATTCTTCCAGTACTTCACCTGTGACACAGACGGACACCGGCTTGGTGTGCAAAGCTAGCTTTTACAGAACTCGCAATAACGGATTTGCAGCAGGTGGAAAGGTGCTAGAATTTCAGAAAAGTAGTAGTGATGCTTTCAAAGACGGCTAAATACAGTAGTTAAAACCAATCGCAGACCTTTTTAGCTGCTACACCGGTTCTTTTTTTTACCAGGATATTTCAGTAGCGTCTCCCACTGACCTGGTATCCATCTACATTGCTTTGTGAAAGAGGCTGCCACCACACGATGGCGTCCGTGGCAGACAGAGCTTTTCCATCAACTCGTCCAGGAGCTTCAGACGGAGCTGAGTGGAGACACAGAGTACAGGTTGGAAAGTAGTTTGCCCGAGAAAATCAATTTCAGGGAAGAGTTGGTCCGAGGTAATCGTTATGTTGCGCGCACACACACACACACACACACACACAAGACTGTAACGGTCCATCACCAGGAACATAAACCACCGTAGTGTCCATTGGCCTTAATGGTCCCAGTTTTCTGCCAGTAGTCATTTCAGCAACGTTTATTAATCACTTAAAAAGGTACAGATATGAATCTCCTCTTGGCACGCAAGTTGCCAGGAAACGGTCCTTGGGTGTTAAATTGTCACGCTGGGCCTCGACTCAAAAAACACATCGCATCGCAATCGTGGTGTCGCACAAAGACACAACACTGCACAAGCGGCGTGCGAACACACGGTCACGACCCCGGGGGGCGAAGCGCCGTAGCTATAAAATCACAAGACTCTCAAACAAATGGAAAGCGTAAAGTACATCCCCATGGCAACGGGGCATCTCCGCATCCCATCCCGTCTGTGTTATCTCGACTGTCTGTCAGTGGAAGTTAATAACGAGGCTAAATGCTTTGCATCCTTGGGCGAATTATCCGCTCTATGGTTCACGCTACGCAGATCCTGGTAATCCCCCCCCCCCCGCACGGAGAGACGGGGACCATAGGTTCACTTTCAAGGGTATTAAAATTCCTCACAACTATACACGAGAACTCCTATTAAATGAGCCCTATGCTTCATTAAAACCCTGCTGGCGATAAGTAGCTGACACTGACAGATTGAAGCAGCGGAGTGTTGGCATGTCGAAGAACTCCTCATTCTGCGCGACGCCGAGCAAACAGAAGCGGGGTTGATTTGTGGTTGCTGGGTTTTTGCCACATTTCCCCGTTTATGTTTCCGCGTTGGGAGCTGTAGATCGCATCAGTGCTTACCGTCCTGTGCCGAATAAATGGTGGCCGTTAGGCTGAAGGGTCCCTCTCCTTTTCTGTTGAAGGCTTTGACTTTGACATGATACTGCGTCATCGGAGGGATGGAGGAGTCCTTGTGGACGTAGCGCTTGGCCTGGGGGTCAGCTACCGTCACCCTCATCCACTGGGATTCATCTTGTGGTTTGAAAGCCACAATGTAGCCAAAGTCGGGCCCAGAGTAGTACTGTGGCTGCACAGGCTGATGACAGAAACATCAAACATCCATTTAAAGTAGCAAACGTTTTATTTTAAACACCTCTCTTTCCGGTCCGAGTTCAGGCAAGTGGATCTGCAGCAATCCTCCACTTACGCTTTGCGCTGTACACCAAGATCAACAGTAATGCCCAAAAACTTGCACTTATCGGATGATTTTGACAAATGTTTCTTTGAGCGGTACGCAAGAATTTAAAGTTGACACCGTCGGCTCGTCCCTCTCCATCTGTCCTCACGTCTCATTTCCTTTGTTGGCATTTGGCTCTATTTCCAGTAAGACGTGCCTGCACTAACCTATCTCCAAACACTACGGCTTATCCTCGAGCTGCTCCAGTACGGAGAAGCCAACGCGTCGGTCCACCCGAAGGCAGTTTGCCTGTGAGAGTTCATTTAAGCAGCGGCTGCAGCGAGGAGATGGAACACAATGATGGAGTTCAGGCATAAAGTACGAGACTATTCAATGCTTCAGCCCCTCTGGAGTACAAAGATATTCACAGATAAGCAAAGTAAACTCACTTGAAGCTTATGGACCACTTCTATTGGATTCATCAAACCCGTGACCAGAACATTGATGGAATGAGCACGTGTTGAAATGATGTCGAGTTCTTTTTCCGTTGTCCCGGCATTTTCTCTTTTACTAAACAGTAATATTCAAGCAATAATGACGGCGTGTCTTCCTGTGCAGCCCTGTGCAGACCTACCGTCCACGTGATGGTCAGTTCCCTGCTCGTTCCTCCACCGCCACCGACGTCCGAGGGCGCCACCATAGGAACTACAACGAGACAGCCACAGCAGAACTCAGAGCCCCCCCCACACACACACACACACACACTCACAGCGCCATCCCACACAGGCTGTAACCTATCCCTGGCAGCAGTACTGAAACATTCTTCCTGCGAAAATACAATATCGACGTCTTCACCTGTGCCAAATGCAACACCAGAACGTCAATGTGGGAACTTTGCCACTAGCGGAGGCGAAGGTTTTCTTGTTTTGCCTTGTTTCTAGTAGCTCACTCTCAAATGAAGGTTCTTATTTCAGGAGAGGTCACCGCGTGGCCTGCAATTTCAATTTTACAATTGAATTTCAGTATACAGTTTCAGCAAAGTGCTCATTTGTGGAGGTTTGAGTGGTGAGTTGGTTGAGATTGATGGGATTTCTTCAGCGATGCAAAACGTAAGTAAACAGAGCTATAATCCAATGACGAGGGGGGGGGGGCACGTATCAGGGCGGAAAGCTGGACTGTGGGACCACATTTCCATGACATTTGGTGCTTGTAGCTTACAGTACGATGATGCTGTAAGCTATGGGCACGGGCTTACATGCTTCCAGGGTTTTGTCTCTCGGCGACGGGCTGCTCGGCTCTCCTTTCCCCAGACTGCTGGTGGCGATCACTCTGAACTCATATTCCGTCCAGGGGAACAATTCCACCACCGTGGCCATCTCCGTATTCCCCTCGACATCTGGGGGAGCTGGAACCAGAAGCACAGATTGTATTTTACAATGCCAGCATTTCAGGGCTATAAAGCACCACAGTGTAGGTATTCAACAGAAACATCTCTAAAACAATAATGAAGTCCTATTTTCAGAATAAGTTCCTCTATTAAAAAGCCCTGACGCGTGAGAAAAAAAATCGTATTCTAGCCATCTTAAAGATACGTTAACCATCATGTAGGCCTACCATATAACTATGTGGCACAAGCCTGATTATTATAACACGGGAGCCAGCTCAGCGTTAAGGTAGCCAGTTTATTTGAAGTCCTCACATGTAGTGGCGTTCTTCCAGACATCCTGTGAGAAGGAGTCCCTGTACTGGATGGTATATTTGGAGATGGGGTTGTGGTTGTCTGCTCCACGGCTCCACTGCAACGTCACATTCTTGTCAGCTTTCTTCACCACTCGCACCCCACCTGGGGCACCGGGGGGACCTGGGGCGAAGACCACAATAAGATGAGTACGCTTTTATTAAGACGGCGTAGTGAGACTAACCCCTCACTGTGAAAGAGCTTGGTCTTTATTCAAGCCCACGAGGAGATTCTTGGCCAAAGTCCCGAGCAGAGCGACAAGGTGATACTTCAATGGCAACGTTTGATGCACATCAGCAAAGACTGGAGGTGGATTACAGCATTAGAGGCTGTTAAAATACACACTACAGCTTCTGAATGCAGTGTTTCTCTTGGTCCTCCTATTCTTTTCTTTGGAACGTAAAAATGACCAAATTGAAAACCCTTACTGTGTTACGGTTAGCTTCCCAAGCCACAGCCTCAAACATCAGCCAGGATTGACTTTTTCCAAGAGATGAATACGAGCCGAAACAAGTAAGGCCATCACACCGAGCCGGGCGGCCTTTAAGCTTCTTTACGACTCAGGAGAAAGCCAAGTAGTGAAAAGATTTAGTTTTTGTACAATTGAGTGTAACGGGTGAACTATTGTTCCGATTTTGAACTTCTGTAGGACACTGTCATGTGGACGCTGAGCACAATGTGTTTTAACTGATCGTAGCTCCACCACGTTAAGCCTGACTGACATCCTTCACTCGCAGGAACCCAATTTAATCAAACTCGTGAAGTCACAGACAATTACATTTCACAGCAGCATTTCAACGAATCAGCTCTTCCCCGTATCCCAGATCCGCGCCAATAACAAGCTACTGGTTCGGAGCTGTGTGGGGTTTTTTTTAGCTCGGATCTCCCGAAGCAGATCTGCTTCCTCATCTGCCGTGATACATGGCGTCTCTTTCATCTCCACCTCGCCGCAACCCGGCCCGCTGGCACTCGGCCCTCCATTAGGAGCGGCCCCGGGCCCCGTGTTTTGGTTCCTTTCGGGGGAAAACGTTACAGTCAGCTGCCGTCCGTCAACACACCTGCCCAGAAAGCAGCGGCACACCCAGAGCACAGCAGGGATCACCGGAGGCCTGCCAGAGTCCGAGGGTCCCTATGTGAAGAGAGCCTTTGTCCACCAACACTGGGCCTGTTTCATGAGCCGAGAGTGGGGGCGGGGGGCGGGGGGGGGGGGCCTGTAAGGGGAGCTCTCACTCGCCGGGAAGTGAGCGGTGAAAGCGGGCCGATGGATCACACTGGAGGTGAAGTACAGTAAAGGAGCGAGGGCGTGTTCCTTTTGTGCGCGTCGATATCTGTACGCGGCCGGATGAACAAGTGCTGCAATCAGCAAGTCGCCGTGTCAAAACACTGCCACCAAAGACAGAAATCCAACAGGCTTCAGTCATCGAATACTTCTTACACCACCGAGCAGCTCGAACCTACTGGTTGCTGTGATGTCAGCGGCTCTATAAAGAGTCTTTATTCAGTTACAATGAAGACAAGTGGCGGCTGACACTGTTCAGAAGCCTTCACGACGACACAACAGCACTGCTCGCTCCGTTCAGTGGGGAAAATCTGCAACTGTCCCTAATCAATCAACCACAGCAAAAGCTGTATCAAATGAGTCTTTTTTGAAACACTGCCGTCTCTCGGAGTCAAGAGGTCATCCAGGGAAACAGTGTGGCTACTTTGGAAAGCTTAAGTGATCTGGATACAGTACTCGTGTTCCCTCTCTCGGTCTCTTCTTTCCTTTTTCTTCTTAAGGTTGGAAAAATGAGTAGAGAAATATGTGTGATGAAATGGGAAATGTCTTTTGTTCACTTTAGTGAGCTCTTTGGAACCAACTCCCACTGAAAACATTATTCAAATCTTAGCTATTTCTCAGATTGTTTGAAAAAAGGCCGGGGGCGTAGCTTTGTCGGATTTCAATCAAGGTACCCGAACATACCAACAAAACCCAACATACAAAAGTCTTGTCACGTGAAATAACTGAAACTGTTCAACAGCGAGTGGACTGTTCATGTTGGATGTCTTTGATGCCGTTTTTACACATGACTGTCTGTGTGTGTGTGTGTGTGTGTGTGTGTGTGTGTGTGTGTGTGTCATCGTGCCACTCACCCCTGACGACCAGGTGGGCGGAGGCAGTAACGTTGTCAATGGGCGTCTGTGCAGTGCAGGTGTAGCGTCCAGCATGCTTCAGGTGGAGGTTCTTAATCAGTAGCTCGCCGTTTGAGCTTCCATTCTGCAATAGAGAACAGGACGGGAACTGCTTAGACCCGAGGGATCCAAAAGTCCGGCCTGCGGTCACATTTCAGACGGCCCGCAGCTTCGCGTCTATAATGTGTTATTCATGGTCCGTTATCATTGTTAGATAAATCAGAAAACGTTCAAATGCCATTCCTCTAACAGACAGCGTTACTTTTGAGTCCTGTTCAAAATGAAGTAAAGATATTTATCGACTTGTGTTTTTAGAGACGTTCACGCCCTGCTTATGTTTGGCTACATTGCCCTTTAGTATAGAAAATTGTGTTTTATTGTATATCTAAATGTTGTGGTCAGAAGGTACTATTGGCCCCCGGGCATTTCCCATTATCAAATCTAACCCTGAAAAAGGCCGTTCCACTGTGTTCTTGGCAGAGCAAAATTATAATGGGAGTTCATTTTCTCCTCTGCCTGAAACTTATCTTGAAATATGGCAAAGGGTGGATTATTTTGAACACTGGCGTAATTCCGAAGGAGACGGACCGACTTAACATCCAATTAGGTGAACTGGATCCGGGCTTCAGCTAAAGGGCTTCACCTCCGTTCCTATAAAGAAATGTCGCCCTCCACACAGTGCTCCAAACAGAGACTGAAACATGCCTTGTTATTACCGCAAACAGTATTAAGTGGAACTGGACCACATTTTTACGAGGGGAAAAACATCTTTGTGCACAAAAATTGGGTATCATCAATCACAATCATAATAGTGTTTGCCTAGCGGGCAGCGTGGCAAATGAGAAATGCTAACCGCTAACTGATGGTTAGAGCTGCACAAAGGGAGCGAGGTCACGTCGGCATCGATGTGCACTGTTGCTCTCAGGGAGGAATGTGAAATGGCTTTTAGATGCATATTGATGGTAAGCAGCCTGTACTTTTCCATTTCAGGTATTATATCAAAATACTAAAGACATCAATCAGACTGGACTAGATAAACTAGACCAGAGCTCAGATGGTTTCAAGCTGAACTTTGATCATCTGTTTCTTCATACTTCATTAACCGAGCTGTTGTCTCACCAGCGTGCGTTCATAGTGGCGACTCTCCTCGTGTAGGTCGATGACTCGGTCATCCAGGGACCAGATGAAGGTGATGTCCAGGGAGGGGTCATGTGATGCGGCGCACTGCATGGTGGTGTCCTCACCCACTTTAACGTCAGCATTGGACGGCGCCAAGGTGATCTTTGTGGAATCTGAGGAAACAAGTGGCCAAAAGAAAGGAAAAATGGTAGACGGCTCGGCGGTGAGGTATGTGGCGTTAACGTGAAATAGCAACAATTCTTCAATGGCCACGGGTGTCCAGAAGAGGGCAGAAAAGAGCTTTACATCCTGAACTACATGAGCTAAACTGAAGAAAAAAAAAAAAAACAGAGTTTGACAGCGGAGATTGTATGTGTGAAGAAAATAAATCACACAATGTCACTATTCACTATTCAATTAAACCACCTCAACAGGTTTATGACTCAAGTCTTCTCCTCCTCATTCCTCATTGAACAGTGCGTCCCATCACATCGGATCTAAAGCCATCCCGTGTGGCCTCCTGTCCTTGGGTATTGACTAGATATCCACGAGCAGCGTGCATACCGCTCAGAGGGGGTAATAATTCATCAGCAGACATGTGGAGGCCGTGGCTGTTCAGTAGTGGGACAGAGACTGGCAGAAATGACTGACGGCGAAGGCCGACATCGGGCCAAAGCAACCCGAGCCGTCCTGGATTACAAAAAAAAGAGGGATGAAGGGAGTCATCAGTCGAGCATTGTTCAGCAGCTGGAACTTGCCTGTGACCAGCAGAGAGCCGGTGCTGTTGGCCTTTCCCCGGTCGTTCTCGGCGAAGCAGGTGTACCTGCCTTCATCTGCGCGCGTCAGGTTGAGGATCTCCAGGCTCCCGTCCTCCCAGATGGACAACCTGAGGAGGAAGCAGAAACACTTCTAGAAAGAGCTCTGCAATATGAAATATTCAGCACGCTACGAAGGTCAAAAGTCCGGCGCATGTTATTACATAGATGTGTGGGAGATGAAAAAAGTACTCCGAATGTCCGCCGGTTACCTAATGGAATGTATGTTTTTGATATGGAAGAAAAGTACAGAATCAGTCAAAGGTTTGGACACACTTTCTGTATGTGAACTAGAAACTATTCGTCGAGACGTAGCATTGAATTCTGATTTCCATGCATGACGACTAGCATCGTGCCAGGTGCCTGTGGCTTCTCCCCCCCACTGCAGCTACCATGAAGCGTGTGCTGCACAGCCCTTTGGATGCCGCTCCTGCATGCGAGTCCCCACTGTAGATGGGGGTGTACGGGGGTGTCTCCCAGTCAGAGAAAGTCTATGTCCGTACTACGTTAACGGATGAGAAGACATAAAAGAAGCTGGCCATTGACTGCTCACCGGGTGGAGTTGTGGAGCAGCTCGGTGTCTTTGCTCCAGGAGAAGGACGGCTTCGGAGCAGCTTTGGGTCGACAGTCGATCACCACGCGGCCGTTTTTCGGTGCCAGGACTCTCTTCACGGGGTTGTGTTCAAACGTGGGAGCACAGGCTGGGGAGGGACGGTTTGGTTTAGTCATCTCAAATTTAGCAGGATATGCATTGACTGTAAAAAATAAATGAATAAATTGTCTAGTGTGCACGAAATGGGACCGCAGTCAAAGCGTGACTCACCATAAACACGCAGCTCCGCATTGGCATATAGGAGTCCGTGGTGGCTCTCTGCGATGCACTGATACATCCCCGAATCGTCAAACGTCAAGCTGCTGAACCTCATCTCTTTCCGGTGGGACTGCAGAAGAGTGTGGCGTTTAAAAAAAGGTTGTGTCAAAAATCAATCATTGTTGACATCCACGGAGGTACAGACGATTGGTTTGTGTGACCGGGGGAGGGTTTCACGAATGCATCACGGCGTATCCAGTCGCACACACCAAACAGCCTCCCCCCTCTCTGCTGCCGTTAATTGTTAGTCTCATGGGTGTTTTCGCGGGCCTGATGACAGGTGTTTCTACGGAGGGTTACACAACCCACGCTGGCGCGCACTCAACACCAACAGGTACACTCTGCCGACACGATGCCAGCCTCCTGTCACTGCTGTGCTGCAGTAACAACCCTGCGATGCACACAGAGGCAAAATCGAATGAAGGCATGCATATTCAGTTGGGATTTTACCGGTTGTCCATTTTTCAGCCAGCGGATGCGTGGTTGGGGTTTGCCGCTGGCTGTGCAGGACATAGTGTAATCTCTGCCCAGGTCCTTCTCTGTGCTGCTGATGTGCTCCACCCACTTGGGAAAAGCTGCAGACGAGCAAAATCAGATTTACAATCATACGTCATGTGATACTTGAGGCACAACAGGTGATCTAAAGCCCAAAAACTGAACAAAGGGCTGGTGGATTTACCCCACACAACCGCGGGCCACGCGTGTAAAGAGCAGAAGGCTGCACGGCGACTCCTCACCTTCTACGGACACGCGTGCAGCGTGGTAGTCCTTCCCTTTGGAGTTCACCGCCTCACACTGATAGCGGCCCGCGTCTTCAAACTGAACGTTATACAGGTGCAGATTCGCACCCGCCATCCGCACCTCGTGGTTGGATGGGAGTTTCCCTTCCAACTTCTTCCAGCGGATCTCGGGTACGGGACTGGGAAGAGAGAGAGAAAAGGAATACTCAACGGCAGGAAGCTTCAACTTGTATCGCTGCATCCGAGTAGTCCTTTAGCTGGAAAATGCTTCATGAATGATTTAGCTGCAGGAAGAGGCAGTGAATTAAAGGCAATCTAGCTACAGTAAACAACGTTTGACTGTGCATTAAGGGTGAACTAAATGGGTTGTGTATGTATGTATTAAGTATGTATTATGTATTAATATGCTGCATCATTTAAGGCCAAAATAATAACAGAGTAACCTTTCCGTATTTTACTATCGACTGACAAACACCAAAAAATCAGAATCTTTATCCAGATTCTCCTTTGAGATCCGTTCAATAACTGTTGGATCTTAAGAGAAGACTCACTGGCGGATATCGTGTGTGTATTCATGAAACCTTCCAGTGCACACGTGCACGTATTGATCTCTCACACTTACTTCCCCAGAGCGAAGCATTCCAAGGTGAGATTCTGCCCGACCAGAGCCGTGGTATCTGGGAACTTAACTTTGAGGTCGGCAGGGTATTTTCTGATGGGACCTAAAGGGAATAAGAAAAAGACAGAATCATGACTTGGGTGATGAAACCATTTCGAGCTGCTAAGCCCCGAAACAAAGAGAGGTCCCAAATGTTTTTGCGATGATTCTTTTACTATTGTTTGATTCGAGGCATCTGTCATTACTTTAGTGGGTCAAATTACACAAAAAGATATTTCTTTGTAAATGTTCTTTACTCAGATGTCCTGCTGAGGCACACATAAGTACATGTGCTTTTGGTTTAGCAACACAATGGCTTATTCTTTTACAATAATTGGGTTGTGGCAGTTCATCAGCCTGTATTCCTGTTACATTATAACTGGGTCGGCCTCTTGCAGCCTCGGTCAAAGGAGTTTTTTTAGAACTTGTTCGCTTGACTTCATCTCGAGATTGTCAGGATCAATATTTTGTGTGTGGATCAAGCTGTGCCTTTGATTTCTCAACATCTCCGTCTCTCTTACATCAGCCGGTGAGAACGAAGACTCAGTGGGGTTCACATGGAGTATCAGCAGTGAGGCAGAAGTAGAATACTATCGCTTTGTGTAAATGGAAGGACAAACTAGTAACAGTACAAATCACCTGACTGGACCTTTGGGTACCGGGTTATCATGCTGAGATATCCAGGTTTAAATCATGTGGCATCCAGGTACGTTAAGCTTTCTGAAAGCCGATTGGCTTGTTTGGATGTTTGGTGCACTGGAGTCGATTTCTCTGCTCTCGTCCTGAACCTCTTTGGTAGAACGAAACATCTCATCCTGTGTTTAGGGGGAAAAGGTACTAACGTTCAGCCAGAGGAACGAGGGGGATGTAGTTGGAGAAAACGCTCTTGGAGATGGATTGGCTGGAGGCGATGCAGGAGTAGTTGCCGCTGTCGGAGGAGTCCACCTTGGAGATGTAGAGGTTCCCCGTTATCTGGGAGACAAAACGCCTCTTGTCCAGTGGGATGAAGGTGGGGAATTCATTGAGGATCCATCGGAATGACAGCTCATCTGCACAGAAAGAGAAGCGGCACCCGTCAATCAAGACCGTGGACGCGCGGCGAAAGCTTTGGAGAGAACCTCTGGGACTCGATGAGAAACTGGTTTACTTTGAATAATGTGAAAACGTGCAAATAAAAATAGCACAAGGGGGATTTATTATTCAAGCGTCCATTGACCTTTCAGATTAAATCGTATAATTCTCTTAGCTGAGAGGCATAAAAGAGGAATACTGTGAGCGCATTGGCTTGTTGATGCTGTGGAGAGAGTGTTAACAATGCTTTCGGACGGCTGTGTTTGTCACATTTGCATAAGCATGAATATGGAAAATGTGTGTTCAGCTTTTTGGGCTGATGGCTATGGCCAAATTAACGGCAATGCTATTCAAAAGCTTTGTAAATTTGAAGGAGGCAAATAGGAGAAGAGAAAATATACAACAACCAACAACATTTCTGCTTTAAACAGACATGAGACTGATGAAAACTGTCGCTTTTGCCAGCAAACCGAGGTTAAAACTCATGGCGACTGTGACAGAGGTCAGTGACGTCCTTATCGTTGTACCCTTTACTTTAAGAAGGGCAATTCAATCCAGGAAAGACGCTACCTGCTGTACCAACGTCCATCCACCCACTTCAATCAATCCGATGCTGCGGCCACATGATGATGGAGGACGGACACAGACCTGTGAGGACGCTTCAGCAGAGCTGTACCTGGGTAATGTGGTGGGGGAGCGCAGAGCAGCACCGCCCCCTGTCCCTCCTTGACGTACACCGACTCCCTCTCCTCCGACGAGAAGAGGTCGAGGTCTGAGGGAGGCCGAGACAAAGATCAATTGTGAGGCATTTTCTGATTCAAGAGCTGTCGAGTACTCGTACTGGAGCAGCTTCTAGAAAAGCAACACTAAAAGATGCATTCAATAATTGCACTGTCCACACCAGTGATTTGTCCCAGCTGCCCTTGCAATTTCGCAGTGTTTAATAAGCGTGAAAGTTCTCTCTTGGATACGTGTAGTACTGCACTGCGCATCACCGCGAGTTACTTACATCCGAACTGGACGGAAGCCTCTCGGCTGGCCACCGTGCCGTAGATGTTGGTAGCCAGACAGAAGTACTGTCCTACGTGTTTGGTTTTGATGGGGCTGCTGATGACCAAGTTGCCCCCTACTAAATCGTAGTGGCTGCTTTGTGTATTCAAGTCGATTTCCACGTTGTCCAGCATCCACCTGCAAGGAAAACAAATCGGAGGACGTGAGCTTAAGTATGCTGCAGGAGAATATAACTACATGTGGCCCCTAAAAGGAGGTTACAGTTGCTATAAAGATTCAAAAAAGCTATTCTATATCAATTACAAATGGCATGTTTTGAAAGTCTGTACAGTAGATGGACCCATTTGAACAGTGGTGGTCAAAGCTCCTCCCCCTTTGACATCTAATTCTGGGCTCTCTGGCAGTGAAACCAATTTGGAGGACGCCAAGCAATATCATTTGCATTTACATTTACATCTAAATTGAAATGGATCATGCGAAATGTTGAGTTGCAAAATGAGGTTGAGACATGCTGTCAGCGCCGTCAGTGCAGCTGCTGCAGAAACATCCTGTTTGTTATTCCTCTTTTTCTGGCTTATCATATTTTTCCATTTGAAAAAAAAAAAAACCCAACTAAGCTGTGTCAGTTGTTAAACAATGACAATCATTTGCGGAGAACGTATTACACAATCCTCCCATGCTGGATATCCACGGACACATAATAAACCTCTGAGGTGCATCATGGCTGAGATCAACATCTGTGTGACCTTCCATTAACGGGCAGATCCCAGAACAGCTTGAGCGATGACGAGCGATGGGAGACACACACAAACAGCGGGGCAGTAATGACACTGTGTTCATGGTGGACACATCTTACTTGTATGTGGCAGGTGGATTGGCCCGGGCCCGGCAGCTCATGGTGATTTTCGCCTCGGGCGACTCCTCGGGGTAGATTGTATCCACCGGCTGCTCCTCAAACACTGGCCCGTAACCTGTGGCTTCGTCTGCCGACAAACAAACAAACGCGAGCGGCTCAAATAAGCTGCTGCTTCACACGTGCAAACAGGGAGCATCAAAGGGTGTTTGAGCATCTGTCTGGCACTTCGGGGAGACAGATAAATCACAACAGCACGCTAATAATGACAGAGCTGTGCTCCCTCAGGTGCCGGACCACAGGGGAACCTTCGTCGGTTGCCAGTCACTGTCATCATATCATGAGCTAATACAAATCCTAGTCCTGGAAATGCTATCGTGACCCTTTCACACTGCACCTGTCATCCTCGCGGTCGCACAAGCAAATTCAAGGGAGGAGGGCGTCCTCGATGAAAACGACCTTTTTCTGGCTTTTACACCTTCCGACACACGCGTGCAATTAGCCCCAATTACTCATTAGAACAGACACGACGAGCAGAAGCATGAAGAAGTCGCAAACACAAAGCCAGGCTATGAATAATCAATGAGCCGAAATGTTCCCAAACGCTGATTATTCACTCGGATCAGGAGTGTATGGAGCAGACTGCAGGAGTGAGACCGTGAAGGGTGTGTGACTCTCTAAGGCGGCACAGCTGACACCTCAATGCCCTTTCAGACGGTAATATCCTGCTTCTATTCCATCTCTTGAAACCAGGATCCGCCCCCCCCTCCTACTGATCACAGACACGGAGGATATCTGAAGAATAGCAAGACAATAAAGCCCCAACCACATGCATTCCAGCAGACAACCCGAATGTGTGACTGCTCGACATGGAGCTCCCGGTAATCTAATATTATGCAGTTCAGCGTCAGTGGACCAGATGAATGTGCGTCTGCCTCGGCTGTGGGGGAGCAAAAGGATTAAAAAAATGCAATAATCTCAGCCGGTATGAAGACCGACTTGTAACCAGACTGGCAAGTTAGCAGCGGCGCTCTCGCTCCAGAGCGGCCAACCAGGAGGCAGCAATTAAGACGTTATAGGAGGCCGGATCAACCGCCACTCACACACACACACACACACACACACACACACACACTCCGGCAGCCAACGCTGTGTGAATGCCTGACATTAATGCAAATCCCAAGGACTCGGAATTATTACAGGCGGAGAGAGACTTAAACATTGTGTTAATAGAGCATTCTGTGGCTGTTGGAAGGCAAATGAAGTGGGGAAAAAACGTTCCCGAAACAAGAGAGAAGAAGGAACCAGAGTGAGGGGAATATACTACAGAAGTGACCCTATTCTAGTGCTGCACGCAGATTGCTCTGCATGAGTGTCAGCTAAATGCTTTGCGTGTAAATATGAAATATGAATGTGGGATGGAGGATGGGAGCCACAAAGGCTCCGCGGCGCTGCTGAAATAGCAGTCGGAGGGCGAGTCGGCGAGATGAGCACTGGTGGGGCTCCCATGCTTTTTCTGGAATGTGGGTTGTGACAGATGGTGTAGGGGAGTGTTGGAGCCGACCGCATAAGGCCCCACTGCCTGGAGACACACGCGGGACTCCTTTTGCTTTCTATCCGTCCCTGACTCCCTGTGTCCTCATTCCATCTCTGCAACCTATATCCGACCGTCACGCTCGGCTCCTCTTTCTTTACCTTTCCTGGACCTTATACATCTACTTCCATTCTAAGGCTCTCAACATGGCTCCAGGACGGGCAACGCCAGTCGCAGGAACGATTATTGGATGTGCAGCCACGAAGCCCTTCATATACATTCATGGACCACACGGGAATGCATGGTGCTGACGTTTGTGATGATCCTAGAGTCTAGTGCAACCGGGATGACGGTGTCTTCTCAACTGCTGAGTTTGATTTTATCAATACTTTAACAAATGTACATGATGCTAAAGGAATGAACCCGTATGACTGCTGAATAGGACACATATCCATGTTCCCTAAAGGTGAACTTTAAGAGTGGTTACTATTCCAATTAGCACCATCACAAGGACACATTTTACTTTGGACCAACCCTGGTTCACTTTCCAAATGACAACATTTACATCAGCCTTAATCCTACTTTATGTTTAGAGCTAATTAGAAGATGATAAGAGGCTGAAATTGTATTGCATTGCCATTCTGGGCTCAACGCACCGCTGTGCAGCCTCAGAAAGTCCCCAGCATGAACACACAGTCTTGTTTTTCTCAAATCCTCGCTCTCCCTTCCTCCCTCAGTGGGCAGTATATTCTCTAACAAGCTCATCCTAAACACGGCTCTCCAACTCGCCAAAGCTACATCGCTATTATTTATCTCCATCTCTGTTCTCGTCTTCTCCGCGTGAAACCCTATTTGTTGTGGATGCCTTGAGTTGCCCTGTTTAATAAGCAACATGTTGTGTATGTGCATAGACACACACACACACACACACACACACAATGTAAGACAGACGAAACTCTCAGGAAAAAGCACATCTGTAAAAGGGGGGACGACAGACAGACACACACCCTCAGACACTGTGTCTTCCTCACACATTTCATTGTGAAACACAGAATCCTATTCGACCGAAGAGCAAAGTTTGAATTTGGGACAAAAGCTGTCGTTCTTCGGTTCCTAATGAGACATCAATTGATCAGGTGGAGACATGACAAAGACAACATAAAAATAAAACAACAATCTGTCCTCTTAAATGATTCACATTTAAATAGTCAGATCATTCATTTCTGAATTTAACGTCACACACAGCTGTGGGTTCCGGGTCCGTCTGCAGCACGGTTTGTGTGCACGGCCCAGAGTGTCCAAGTGGGTCGGATAACATGTTTATTTTCTGGAGGCACCCAAAAGCACCGTGTAGCAATAATTACCCACAAGACCTTGCGGGGTGGCAGCCGACTAAATTGTCCCGTGGGCGGAAATCTACTCTTTAGATATCGTGTTAAATAAATGATTGTTGAGTTTCACTGCCAGCAGAACTTTTAGTGCAGTGATGACAGCGCCTGTCAGTGTGGAGCCAGCTGTTCGATCACTGCTGTCAAAACTAATTATTCCCAAAAACTGAGCAGAGGTATGAAAACGGTATATGTGAGTTTGGATAATAACAGGTTTTATAGAATCACATAAAAACAATTCCACCTGCTTCTCAGATGTTCGGCAGATGTTTAGCATATTCAACCACTAAAACTTTTAACTGTGGCATTAGAATTCTAATCATGCAAGTTTCCCAACAAGTATTCACACACTCTACAATCTAATAATAATTTAATTAAGATAATGTATTCATAATAAGAATTAATTTCATTAGAATTGGAGATGTTGAATGAACTTCAGGGAAGGCCCTCAAACCAAAACGCGAGAAGATATTCAAGAGATGTCTAATAACATTGTCATACTTTCTGATGCTGGTTTAATAGTCGCCTTCACAGCAGAATGATCTGCATTAACGTTGCTATGGACTGAAGGACGAGCCGTCCACTTGCAAGGAAAAGGAATTCTTCATCTTCTCACAGCTGGAGGGCCACCTACGCAACCATGTGACCTTCCAGGAGAGCGCGATCCACTGCCAACGTCTACCGAGGCGCCTTCATCCTTGTCCAAGTTTAACAAAAGGTTTCGCAATTTTTTCACATTTAATAGTGCCGAGTGACCTTAAAAAGTGCAGTGCACCATTAGCAGAGCGCTAGCGGTTTCATGCCGCGGTGTTTCTGGAGAGAAAGAGTGGAGATAATGTCAACATGTCCAGGAGGTGACGCCCCGTGCGCGCACGGTAAGAGTTACATATGGCCGACGCTTTTATGGAGCAGCGAAAAAATAACCTTACTGACTTGCGCAACATTTCAGCCTGCACGCAGCATCCCAGCGTGTTCCCAAGCAACGGAGCTTTTCTTCCAATTTAGCCCTCGCTGGCCGCCTGCCTCCACCGTAGCGCTTTCCCAGAGAAACGACAAGCTGCTCTATATAGTGGTCATGTCAGTAGAAACCTGCAGCATTTTGGGGAAAAGTAAAGGACTACAGCTGTTGTTGGATTTTTGGCACCTTTTGAAAATCACTCGCGCTTGTAGGATTCGATATTCCTTTTGCCAACACACTTGACGAGAAGAAATGACAGCATTTTGGGAAACGCATTTATTCACTTTCTTGCAGGGTGTTAAATGAAAAGATCGATGAAGTCTATTTATGGACTATTTCTTGGCCGTGCATGGACTTCCTAGTCTCAGGCTGGTTGCCTGGCAACCTCAGTCTGGCCCGCTTCCCGCTCGAAAACCTCAAAATGTCACTTATACACGTCGTTGTTTGTACAGATTAAACAAACGAGACATAATATCCTAATTATTGCGCTCTGCGGCCGATTAGTTGCCTGTGGACAGAGCCAGTCCAGCTATATCCCCATTTTCTGTGTGTGTATTAAGCTAATCTGCTGTAGCTTCATCCGACAGCATAAAAGAGAGGCAGAGCAGCAGGCATTAAGTACGCAAACTGAAAAGTACGCAAATTAGTCTAGTTCCCAAAATGTTACTATCCCTATAAACAGCAACGATGGATAATCAATCCATAAAATGGAATAAACGTATACAAACACGCATCAGAGCGCCATCCATCATACCAACGTCGTTCAGTCTCTGAGCTCTAATGAACCGTCTAATGTCTAATGTCTACGACTCGAACCGTCGTCTTTAAGGATTTATGTGGATCTGCGAGAAGGAGGAACCCAGAAATAGCTCCGGCTGAAAGAAACGTGACCTCGGGACGGGTTTTCATTAATCCTGTCCCACCGTGGGCCACGAGAAAGGGAGCAGTCTGTCACTGCCTGTCCCTTAACGCACCCAGACAGGCACATGTTATTGTGGTTTTCGCACCTCGGGGGGCTGCAGTGGCCACGAGACGGCCAGAGCTGCAACTGATGCCTGTTAGCAACCGACATACTTTGTTTCTTGGGTTTTCCTAGTATTTCAGTCAATGAGTCAAACAAGAGCTGAATGGCGTGTTTGGCGTAATATCGTCATAAAACTTCAGCTGGTCATTTTTTGAAGAGTACGCCGAGCGATGGCGTTTGTCTTTCTACTCTATTTACAAATGAAAGCAGCACCTGTCCTGGAATGAGAGAGACATTTGTCCTCGCATGAAACTCACAACCACCTGACCAACAGTCCTTCATAAGTCCTTTCTGTACTAGGAATACAACTACATGTCAGCTGTTTTGACTGTATAATGCATTAAGCCATCCAAGTCACAGGCCTTTCTCTGCTATAACACATCGTGTGGACCCGGAACTATCCATGACTTGATGCTATAGGAATAAAATACCACAGCATGAAATGACATTTTCATTGGAGTCACTGACATCAAACAGAGTTAGTGGCAGAGAAGAGTAATGCCTCCACAATGGGCGTGCGTGTGTGTCTCAACACTAGCCAAAAGCTACAGTGATCTATTTTCACCACTTAGAACTCCATGGTGACCATTACTATTTGGTATAATAATCAGTCTCACCTCCATAGAAGTCGGGTACCTCCTCATGCGTCAATGCATCTGTAAAAGTTAACAGAGGAAATCATATCAACACGTTGAACTGCTATAAATATAATAAATATATAGTATAAATATGACGACCATATTTGAAATACAGGTGTGTTTATCTCGCTTGGAGCAGGAAACATAAAAATGGATGAAAACAAATCATCATCATCGGTTATAGAAGTTTCTTCAGAGGGGTTCAGGTCACAGATTTACTTCTCGCTGCTCAGAATGTGATGAATAGCTAGAAATCTGCTTTGCAGTAAAAGACCTTTGTGCCTTTTAAAGGTCTGATTACTCTGTAAAGCTTTACTCCAAGTGTATGTTTGATTCAGTAGCTGCAATGTGGAGATATAAGAAACATTGCATTGACAAACCTTTTAACATCCAATGATTGTGAATGACGCACAAGGTTTGAAAGGCTCCCGTTGCTATTTTACACATTAAAAGGGGCTTTACGGGTTGAGTTTTAGAGATGTGTTGCTTTCATCTGACAGAAGCAACACCGTATCTCAAAATAAACATTTTGCCAATTAAGTTAACTATTCCCTTTCATCGGGACGTGGTACTGACCTGCAGGGGAGAGGGAGAGGACCAGGAGATGGAGGAGCACGGTGAGGTGCAGCATGATGTTGAAGTGAGGACCACCAGGTGGGGTAACAGTTAGAAGCTCAGCTGGTGGAACATCAGCAGGACTGCCTGGTTTTCCTTTAGGAGATAATAGACAGAAGAAATCTTTAAGAACACAGAAAAACGTCCCTACAAAATAAAAGGTAATATCGTCAATGCCTTCATCCATTCATCTATTTGGAGAAATGTTGCAAAATAGCTTCTGTGTGCCGTCAGCAGGCGGTCGCTGCCTTGACGTGGATCCCGGGCAAAGTGTCGCAGCATCATTAACGTCTCTCTGCTTCCTGTCAGCCCTCAAGGAACACGCTCCTCGATGATTGACATTTCCCACCGTCGCCAGAAAAAACCCAGAGCGCTGGTTCAGCTGAGCAGGCACCTCGCCGTTACTCACTGGCCCCCGAGACGATAGAAGGCCCAGTGTGGCCCCCAGCTCCACAGCCTGAGTAAGCTTGCAGTGCAAATGAGACAACACGATGTAGGCCGAGCACTTTAAATAACTAAATGAACCATTATTAACTGCCACAATTAAACAAACAGTTAATCAAAGAAAGAACATTCCGGGGAATCAGATTGAATAAACGTCGGCCTGTTTGTTGCATCATCATTACCGAATGTCTTGACATTTAAAGAGCTGACAGGGAAACAAGGAAGAAAAATCTCATTCGCACCATTATTTTCATTCAGTGTGTTCAGTTGTGTGTTTTTTTTGTGAACAATGGGAGCTTTCTGTCAAGACTCCACCAAATCTAACACCCCCATATATTCATTTACTGGTCTTACAGCTCTGAGCATCAGTTGAATATTGTCCATTCATTCCCAGTTCGGGCTGGACCGCTGTGTGTTGATTGGAGTGTAATTGAACATGAGGCAGACACTATTGATTCTTTGTGCACAGCCTGAGGCGTCAGCTGCTGGAGACTCCGAGTGCGACAGCAGGATTGAGATCTCAACGTTCAGCGGACAAATGGAGAATTTGATAGAAAAGAGTCGGTGTCATATTTCGGCCTCGCACGACACAAACATACCTGCACACTCCGGGCAAATATCCAAACACACACTGATACGCACACACAAATGAGATGAGCGGGCACAGACACTGCACAGCTACACCACATGCACAATAAGTTGGACATAATGCTCGAGCTGTACAGCTGCACAAAAGCCATACAGAGGAGAATTCATCTTCACGCCGGCCTGTATCCTAGCAACACATTTCAAAAGGAGCAGTTTAGTGTGCTGCAGGGGGTTAGTGGGGGGCCTTTAGTGACCGTCAATGGAACTATGCAAACCCTCATTTTAATCTGGAACAACACTGCAGTTGTGGAACAAAGACACATTTGGTTCCCTGCTCATCTGTTCCACTTATTCGTGTCTTAAACTCAGACAAAGACCTGATCCAATAAGTTGATTAAACCTCCCTCACGCCTTACCGCTCTCCATGGACCTTTCTGCACCGCTATATCAATACTCAAAGTATATCCATAACTCATAAATGATCTTAATGCATTTAGGAGATTAGGGGAGCGGACAAGGAGCCTCCTTACAGCATCATAGTAGATAGTGAAGGAAACAATCCCGTCCACCCCATTAAGAACTCTGAATGGATATAGTGTAAAAAAAAACATCAGCCCAGTAGCACTTAGACGGGCAGCATGCTCTTATAATCAGTATTAATGGAGCCTCCTGCCTCGCCTTTCCTACCTTCAGCAGCCTGACTGCCTGTGGTGAGAGCGCTCCACTCATCACAGTAAATCACAAGGCCAAGACGTGACAGCGCTCAACAAGGCCATTTCTTCTCCCCCATAAATCACACCCGGGACGTTGCCGGTGCTATTACTGCTTGTAGTTTGATTTTGATGGGGTTTTTTCCAAGGTTTTTTCTCCCCCCCCCCTCCCCCTTTCCCCAGCTTTGCCGCGCTCGCTGAATTTCAGCGCTTTTCCTTCTTTTACTCCCTTTAGAATTCTCAGTTGCTCATTTCACCGAAGTCAGAAATCATTTTACTCCGAAAGGAGGCTGCTGGGGGCAGAAACTTACAGCTGCAGTCCAATGGCAAATACTGTCATTTATGCTTTTATGTTGACCCCGTAATCCCCTAAGGGCACCGCAGGATAAGTGAAAGTGAGGGGAACCCCTCCTTCTCTGTGCTCTGTGCAATGTGTGCTGCATAATCAAGTGGTTAACTTTGTGAACGTGTCTTCCTCTATCAGCTTTGGCAAATCCAGGGATGTAGAGGGGGGGGGCGGCGGGAGAGGTCAGGGTGCTAGACTTCAAAAACAAGACGTGGCTCCACCCCCCCCCACCATCACTCCTTAGACAGACACAATCAGCCCCACCAACATCCTCACCATCCGTCATTAACCACAGATCCGCAGTAATCCGGCAAAGGCGGAGCCAAGATGGGGGTTAACGCTGGATTGGTCTTAATCAGTCGGAGATGAGAAGATGAGCGCCGCTTAGACACGGCGTCCACGGGCCGCAGCGTCCAAGTCTCGTCTGAATTCCACAGGGATGCAAACATCTCGAAGAGCTTTTAAGGTTTCAACACATTCCAGGGATTAATGAGGGAGATAACGAGATTCCTAAATGAAGCGTTCCAGTTAGCTGCCAGCGCAGCGTGGAATTATATTATTGTTTGTCATTTCCTCTCATTGTTATTCGGTCAAGTTAATGTATCAAATTTGTGGGATTTTCTATGTGACGTTTTGAACTCTTTGAATTCTATGTGTGTTTCCCACAGAATTAGAAGCTATTAGCTAGCAGTCGTAGCTGGGGGGGGATTTGATAAGCGGCTGGAGGTTTTTATGGTTTTGAGGCTGGCAAGCTCACGTTAACGCATCTTCACAAGTGTGTCAGAAAACTGCGGGGGCCTTCGGCTAAAGCGAGAAGGCCGAAAGCTGTCGCTAGAGCCAGCGTTTGGTGTGTTTGTTGGGGGCCTACTGGAGAAACACGGCGCTGGGTAAATTCCACATGTACCGATGTATCCGAAAAGCGACGCGCTACCTTTTAAAGCTTCTAGGTTTTGCTAAAACGTCTGGTCAAGACGTTTTTTCGCACCTCCACAGGACGTGGCCTTTTGAGTCTTTGAAAACATGTTTCAATACTCATCCGGATTTAAGGGTAAAACATTCAGCATCAATTGAATATTAACGTCACTCCGCTCGGGGGAGCAGCTGATATTGACTAGCAGCTAACAGCTATGTTGGCTTACCTTGCCAAGCCAGCTGTTTCCTGATGTTGAGGAAAAGCTGCACTTGAAAACTTATTTGATGCTTTTTGTTCTCCGAGATTCACAGCGTTGTGTTGGACGGACTAACTTGTTATTTGTGACCGTTGGAAGAACTCGATTTACGCCGGCAGTCTAGCTTGCGGGGAGCAAGAGAAGCCGCTCACCTTCGCCTCAATCGAGCCAACGAGCAGCAGCTTCAAGCCTTTTGCGTGTGTGTTCTTTGTCACAGCAGCTCATGACCGCTCGCACTGAGGGGAGAAATGTGGATGTTCGGTAGACGGGTCAGAGGAATTTGGAATCGGCAGAGAATGCATTTAGTGTACACGAGGATACAGCCATGATTCTGAAACTATGTAATCAATAAAGAAATGAGAGTAGTGTAACCGCTGTCATTTTGAAACTGTATTCAATAGAATAATACCAATGCACAGCTATGATTGTATTCAATGTAATGTAACCAAACAAAATGCATTCATGTAATACTTGATATTACCACTCATATTGGCCAAGCGACTTTCGAAATCGTGCTCAGGGGCGTGGACACGGCCTTTCACACATTTACTGAGCTGTATAAATACCTGTAGGCCCCCATTGTTCTAGGAGTTCATGGTAGAAGCATGAGACAGGGACCATGTGGTGGGGGGGGGGGGGCAATGGGCTCTGTGGCCTGTTGATTGCAGAGACCAGCAGCTTCTCAGCTGAGATGTTCTTTTTAGCACAACGCCTCTTCTTTTATTAAATACTTTCGATTAACTTTTCAATCCAAAATGTCTTCTGTCTATCTGGCGTTTGTCAACACAACATCGCTAAGAGACAAACAGAACAAGACTAAATCCACAGGGGAATGAGACACAGGTGGAAACAATGAGGGCGGGGCTTGCGATCACACGGTCTGAAACGAGACGCCAGGTGAATGACATGAACAGGAGAAACACAGTGACCACAAAAACTACCCAGAAGGTCTGAGAGTTACACAACGTCGTCCCCAAACGCTGCAGGGAAGGACAAGCGAAACCGGTAAAAGATCAGGATTAAATTACTTTAATCTCCCTTTAGCTTTGTTCATCCTGAGCCGAACCGTTGCTGTTTTATAGATTCACATTTATGATATTGTCTGCAAACAGGCCCCACTGCAGCCAATCACTCAATGTCCAGTGAAGTTTAGGTATTTTATTTTACCATCAAGAATTCAAAATATTAAGCACATTTGAAACCAGTTACAGACCAGCCACACAAACATCAATTCTATTTTTAGATGCATATATCTGCCATAGTGTCACTAACTATGCTCTACCTGCTCTAAATATTTCTATTTGACATAGTCTGCTTGGTGGTAGAAGCCAAAATGCTAACCATTGAAATGTCAGTAGAAACGCCTCATATGGAAAGCAAGAAATAGAAGACCGCACACCTCCTATCACATCTGATGAGTTCAGACACCTGAAAAGACTCCGTACTGACGTCCCAGAATGACTCGCAAGCTGTGGTCCTTCAATTTTCGTGCTGAATCAGTGATATTTTACCACAAGACAGTGGTGATACGTTTATGCTTACTTCTAAATTATTCAGGACAAAATCATCGCCACAGCGTGTTGCTTCAGCTCTCAGAAATCCACTCCTTCTATACTGAAACTGTGCAAAACAAGACCGGACTGTGCGCCGGACAAACGGGTTTATATCTCCCAGAAGACCAACACAATGATTCTGTCAAATAAAGGACACACACGCGCACACACACACACACACACACACACACCACCTGCAGAAAGGAAAAGGCCTTCTTTGCTGTGTGTTGCGTGGGCCCACTTAAAAGAACTTTTTTCATATGGTAACAGATTCATTTCTTCTGCC